GTGACTTTATTTCCATCTACACAGACTGCCAAGGACATTGTTAACTCTGCTGAAAGGATGTTGCAGCTTATTGAGGGACAAAAGTCTGATCGCCCAGAAGATAAAGGGGCTGAAAGGAACTTTTTTCCTCCCATTTACAATATGAGGGGGGGTGTTGCCCTTTCCTGGACAAGGGTTATAATAACAGCTGCTGAGAATTGATGTTTCCATTTTTTCACCTATCATACAAAAAAAAAAAAAAAAATTCAAGAGGAGGAATGTGTTGCTGTGGATATGTGGTGACTTTTTTATTCTTTAGATATGTGATTTTTTTTAAATTACATATATTGTGTTTGAAGCTAAGCCTCCCCTATTGATATGCAAATGAACCTGTCAGCCTATGAGCTCAGCAGAAGAAATCCGGCTACAGGATATGGTGTAACAGGAAATGCGGAGGGGATTAGGACTTTGGAACCATGTGTTCAGAGACAGAGAGAGTCATTCTGGACCTGACTAGACTGGACTGGAGACTTGTTCAGAAGCCTTGTTCAGCAGCCAAAGGAAGAAAGAGTTGTTTTGGATGCAAAGGAGGACACACTTGTTCTGAAGACAGATGAGGAAGCAGCTGGACATTGAAGGAGCCATGAGAAGATTCCATCACCAGGAAACCAAGTTAAGTAGATGATTAGTATACTTATACATAACATACATTGTACATGCTAGTTTGTTGTAAAGGATAGATAGTTTGTGCATGTGTATAATGTATGCATGTTTTGTTATACTTTGCATGCTATTAACTGTTTTTCCTGCAGTTGTATGTGGAGCTTTTCTGTTTAGTATAGCAAATATTATTACACTACAGAGTTTCAATCTCTCCCTTGGCTTGTACTGCAAAAGAACCATGAAAGACCAAGCAAAACAGAGTAAAACAAGTGGAATGCTAGTAGATTATTAGCCAGCACAATTTGCATGAAAGCAGGCCATACACACATTCCGAAACTTCGTTGCCCTAACAAGAGGCTAATACACTCATCTGAAGATATTGCTTATATAATATATCCAATCCACATATGGTCTCTACTAATGTACAGGGCCTTTCACAGCTTTCTCAATTTATCTCGACAATGGTCCTGCCTAGACTGGATCAATCAGCTATAGACTCATTAAATACCTCCTTTACTACAGAGGAAATTGCTTGAACGATAAAGGCGCTCCTGGCAGGAAAAAGTCCAGTTGTTTCCAAGTGGTTTTTATAAAAATTCCAGGATATCTTGGCTTCCATTTTGGATATTACATTGAATTCTATTTCAGACCTGTGCCCTTTTTCTCGTCAAACGCGGGAAGCCCATATTACCTTTCTACATAAGGATAAAAAAGACCCCCCAATTTCTTTAATGTTGATCTAAAAATGTAAGTTAAATTGCTAGCAGACAGATTACAATTGGTTATTCCTTCTATTATAGACTAGGTTGGTTTTGTACCTACTGTATGCGCAAATCACGGGATAACACTATTAAGATACTATCCCTTATCTCTCATTGTCAGGCACGGAAGGTACTTCTATGTCTTCTCTCGTTGGATGCTGAAAAGGCATTTGATCGCCTTGATTGGACATTCCTGAAGGGAACATTGAAGCAAATTGGACTTTCTTTGGATTTCAGCTTTGCGCTCGAATGACTCAATACAAGGAGTAAAGTTTGCTGGTAAGCAGTATAAGATAAATATATTCCCAGGTGATCTTTTGCTCCATAACACTAACCCATTGATAGCTTTACCTTCATTATTAAAAGAATTGGAAATCTTTGTCTCCCTCAGTAATTTTAAAATTAACGTGTCAAAATCATATTGTCTAGATCAAGGGTGTTAAACTGGTGGTCCTCCAGCTGTTGCGAAACTACAAGTCCCATCATGCCTCTGCCTTGGGGAGTCCTGCTTGTAACTGTCAATCTTGCAATGCCTCATGGGCCTTGTAGCTAGGCAACAGCTGACACATGTGGTCTAGACATTTCACTTCCTGTAGGTACTGGAGAAATTCTTGACATTAAATTTGCTTTTCAATGGGCACAAGACTATTAAATACCTTGGAGTGCAGATACCCTTGCAACTTTACAAACTGTATGAGTTAAATTATTGTCTGCTGTAGTCTTCTATGCAGCAACGTCTTAGGAGTTGGTCTTCAATGCGACACTCATAGATGGGATGGATGTCCCTCTTTAAGATGGATGTCCTTCTTAGAGTTTTATATATTTTTCAAACAATTCCAATCCAGGTCCCTCGTTCATTCTTTCAATTGGCGCGCTCTTTATTACTTAAATATATATGGCATAGGTCCTCAGCTAGACTCTGATATGATATTTTAGTAAAGAAGCGAGAGGAGGGTGGTGCAAGGCTGCCCAATCTGGAACTATATTATGCGGTAGCTATACTTAGTAAGCTCCTGAACTGGTTCCATAGTAGTCTTTGTAAACAGTGGGTTACCCTTGAATTGGATTTATCACCTGTCCCATTGACTTCTTTTCCATGGTTAAATCCCGAAGATTGTCTGCATATATTGCAATTAACGCCTTTGCTCTTTTTTCTTTCTTGCATGTCTGGGACAAATGTATTTTCTCATATGACCTTTCCTCGAGGCCTGGGCCTTAACATCGATACTGGGTAATCCAAAGCTTCCACCTAGACTGACAGAAAATGTCTTTTTATGCTGGTAATCCCCAGGCTTATCCCTTATATGGCAAGCGCTTACCCCAAAAGGCTTGAACCCCCTGGGAGAGCTTATTTCTCCATTGATCTCCAATGGAGAACAGTGGTTTCAATATTTCCAACTATGTCATTTTTATGACAAGATGATGAAGGAATGAGCTAGAAGAGACTTGGCCCAGTTTGAAGAGCTGTGTCTTTCAGACTCAAAATGTTCAAGTGCTCTTTCTAAAATACATGGTATTCTTTTATCTTCTGCATTTCTGGATCGGCCATTCTACATGCGAGACTGAGAACGAGAACTAGGAGATAATATTACACCTGAAGACTGGCACAAAGCCTTTCACCTTAAGGAGAGAAATTATGAAATCATAGCTAGATGGTATCATTGCCCGGCTTTATTAAACAAGATTATCTGGCTATTCCAGATCAATGCTGGAGATGCGGGAAGCCGGACCATACCTACTTACATATGTGGTGTTCCTGTCCAGCGATTACACATTTTTGGTTAACCATATTCCAACTAAACCATTTGGTTACAGGTAGGCTCTGGCCTGTGACCCCAGAGGTAGCTCTTCTTTCTATAATTTCTGGGTCATTCAAATCTCTTAAAATCTATTATTTATTTTTTGTTAAGGATGTGAGGACCTCAGCTGCATGTGCTACAAAGATGTCCAGCTTATGGTACCATGTGATGTAATATAATATGTGCTTGGCATCTGGGCATAATACAGCAAAATGTATTTTTAATATCTCACAAAACAAAATAGCTTTATAAAAACTCACCTTGTTCTTTTGTGACCTAATGTTTACCACAATATTTTACAACATAGTGCTCACATTCAGCAATAAACTAATCCCCAAGAACAGTACTGGAAATACTAGATGCCCATAATGACCTGTTTCTGGCACTGTTGTAAAGGTAAGGCTTGACTCAACCCATAAACCACCCCAAGCACCACATGTTCCATAGAGGGGAATTATTGTAACTAGACTGCATTCCTGTGTCTAGCCAGTCTTTCTGCCCACAGATAATCAATACCAACTTTGCACATATTCCTATGTTTTGTTTAAACAGTTACAGCCAAGCGAAAAATGCATGCATAACTTGCGCAAGGTTGAAGAAACTTCTTTTGTGCTTTAGTTTGCCAATGATCCCTATACAGTGTCTGTCCTGGGCACTATGCAACCCTATTACAAATGCTTTACAGGGTTTTACAATGAGCTGTTATGTTTATAGGTGAATGACTGCTTTAGCTTTTCTTCAACTATAACCAATTATAAGATCCAGAATGCTCTAAGTAATTTATTTTCTGGACCATGTCACTGTTTATATCAGATACTTCTTCCAAGTTCTGTTTTTCTTGATTTTCAGCACAGCTCAGTTCACTTTAGACATTACATTCAATCAGAAATGCCCTGTTAGTGATTGTAAAACAGAAATATGTCAGTTTTATGTCATAGGGTTGCGTGGGATGTTTCTGACAATTTCGCAATTTTGATTTGCTTGTTATGGACCCTAAAATATAGCAACTTGATGGAGCTGACTATCATAGGAGGAGGTGACCATATTACAAACAATATGGCAATAATTTGTTGTGTGTTTAGGTTTAGATACACTTTAGGTAGGGGAGTTGATATACAGTATATATTTAAAAGCATGTTTTCACTTGCTCTGCAAAAAAGAGCAAGACACAAAATCATTAGATGATGTGGGTTTTTTTGTGTATTTTGGTCAAAAGATGTAAGCTTAGTGAGTCTGGTGAGTCCTACATGAAAACTTTATAAAGTAGGAAAAATTGATGTTTTTATGGCTTATGTGGTGTGAACTAGCCCTTAACTTTAAATCTGGTCCAGTTTAGAATTAGTGTGAACCCTAAAAAGCATACAGGTATCAAATGAGGAAAAGAGAAATCATAATGTTCTAGTCTCCATTATTTTGTTCTGGTCTCTTTAAAGCAGTATTAAACCCGAAACCAAAAATGTAATATACCATATTACAGCTTACCAATCTTTAAATGTGGTGGCTGCACGAGCTTTCCTTTTTGACCACTTGGTAACCGTGCTATAGCCGAATGACAGCTACAGCGCAGTTGTCCAGTTCTGTGATGTCGTTATATGATGTCCTCACAGAATGAGCCCTCCCATGCGCCCCCAGCAGCACTCACCTGGCGATCTCCATGATCGCTGTGTCCTACGGGCACAGCTGATCACATGATGAGGTAAAAGGTCAATCACAGCAGCCTTTTACCACGTGATCAGCTGTGTCCAATGACACAGCAGATCATGGAGTAAATACAGTTGCCGGTTATCGGCAGCACTTTCCTCACGCAGTCAGTCAGTGCCTTCAGTCAGCGCTGCACATCAGTGTCACCCATCAGTGCCCATCAGTACCTCCTATCAGTGCCCATCAGTGTCGTTTATCAGTGACCATCATTTCTGCATATCAGTGCAGCATCATTAGTGCAGCATCATCAATGCCCAACAGTGCCCCTTCATCAGTGCAACCTCATTAGTGCCCAACAGTGCTGCCTATCCATGCCACCTCATCAGTGCCCATCAGTGCTGCCTATCAGTGCAGCCTCATCAAAGCACATCAGTGAAGGAGAAAAATTACCTGTTTGCTAAACTTTATAATAGAAACAAAGAAAAATTTTTTGCTCTTTTTTTGTTTATAGTGCAAAAAATAAAACACCCAGTGGCAATAAATATCACCAAAGGAAAGCTCTTCTTGAGTGAAAAAAAAATGATAAAAATTTAATTTGGGTAGTGTTGCATGACCACGCAATTGTCATTCAAAGTGCGACAGTGCTGAAAGCTGAAAATTGGCCTGGGCAGGAAGGGAGTATAAGTGCCCAGTAGGCTAGTGGTTAAGCTTTTTTTCTCTCTGTTGTCACCTAGTGACCTGACCAATAGCACAGCTCCAGTATTACAGTGCCACCCGCTCTGGATGAATGACAGGGGTACTTTTGGACAGCAACAATGTCAGACTGGGAGGAGGGGGCTGAGATGTACAAGCAAATTTAAATACACTAACACGTTGCAGCCAAACATCCGCTCACACTCCAGTTACACAAGAAGTTACAACAACAGCTTTGGTCCTTTTGGGATAAAAGTTTTACATGAATAAATAACAGCTGATCATTGCAAGCTCCCCTGCCAGTGTTAAAAAGCTTATCTCAACACTCAAACTGCTACATTTGCAGGAGAGCTTGTTCTGTTGAAAAGCTGTATCACCAGGTGAAAATAAAGGACAGAAAACCTAAAAAAGAAAATTAATGAAGCCATCATATCTAAAAATTAGTAAACTGCAATATAATAAATGTTTGATTTTGGGGTTAATACTGTCCCTTAAAAAAAACTGCTGCATATATGAAGTACAGCCAACGCTAGATATCTTTTTTTATGCCCACAGCAGCTTCTAAGATCTTGCAACTACAATTAAATTTGGGGCTTTTCTAACAGGCAAAGTTTTTACACTTTTGAGCTAGCTGCTATTGCCAACCTTTTACAAATTCCTATTAGTGCATCAATATGATGGACTGCCTTACTAACCAATATGTATTGTGCAGAAAGCAGGAAGGGTCAGACAAGTGTCATCAGAACAGCCAGGGACTACACCATAAGAGCAGGATTTTGGCGTATAATCACCTGTGAATTTTCTAACTCCATCAGTTTTTATTTTAATTAAGAGTATTGTTTAGTCTCTTATTATGGAGATTTCCCCTCATTTCTACTCCTAGTGAAAGGTGTTACCTTAATGAGGTTCCAACCCTTCCTATCTTTGCCCAAAACGAGAAAAAAACTTTAGGCAATAGTCACATTTTAGAATATAAAGCATGAGGATAAAAGAAAAGTCTAAACAAAAATTGTTAAAAACATAATTAAAGAGTGTAATTGCATCAGAAAAAATTAAGAGGTCATCTCCTTTATGTAAGCGTCAATAAACCTTATAATTTTACACTTTTCATTGCCCTTAGGGAAACTGGTTATCTTTACTCTTAGAATATCCCAGGTTCTAGGGATTTGGTTTGAATATCTTCCTCAAAACTTCATTTTCGCTTCAAATGGAAGAAGACAAAAGTGTTTATAAAGTCACATGCTACACCACAAGTTTATTAATACACACACAGAGGTGTCAGTTGTTCTGTAACTTACAGGTTTTTAGCTGTGAAGCTATGCAAAACTGCCTTCACACTGCATAATGAACTCCATAAGCACATTATATTCAAAAATCTAAAATATATTAATTCGCATAGTAACATGCTTTCTGTTTAAAATGTATCCTAACTTTATTGCATGTGTTTGAACAAGTGTTTTTAATGAAATATAACATGGTAATCAAGGGAAGGCTTTAGAGTAAAAGGTAAGAGAAGAAAAAATGTATGGATTTCCTTGGTAACATTAATTATTCTGACATACGTATGCTGTCCTATGATTAGCCGACAGCTAACAGCTAACAAAACTGGCAGAAGCAGCATTGTGTTTCATTCCAAATTAATTTTCTTCTGTGAATAGCTCTGTAAAACTGCAATACAATCACATAAACTGAAATTACAATATGTTTGTACACATGTCTATTACAAATGCATACAAAGAAAATATTTCTTGCAAACAGCTACATACAAACACATTCAAATGTGATCTAGCTACGTATATGACTATGACAAACACGAAAAAAAAAACCTACAGGTACATGTGTATTAAAGGGAGAATTGAGGCCTTCACTGGTTTTCTTCTGGAAGCTAAATTGGAACTGCAGTAGTATCTGGGAAATCTTTATTTTAACGAACAGAAATATTTCCTGTTCATTAATAAGGGCGCAGTTGCAGTGAATGCCCAATAGATGGCTCCCTACTCAACACAATGATGAGATACGATATACAGAACAATATGTATTAATATTTAAAATGTATTCTCACGTAAAATTAGTATCGCTCATCAAAGGAGGTGTAACCACTGCAAGATTTCTGCCTAAATACAGGGAGTGATCAAGGACAGAAGGACCTCCAGAACATTACCAAGCTTCCTGAAAAAACATACTTGTGAAAATCGGGGACCAGGAATTCATCTGGGTTGGATTCATAGGTTTGTTGAATCCTACTCAAAGAACTTAGCATCAAATTCCATTGACGTCTGTGGAGGGCAAATCTTGATAATAAATTCTGGTAGTTTTTTTAAGGCTAATAGGCAAGGTATTGTCAAAAAGCGCATAGGGAGCTAGACACTGCTATTGAAGGGGGTGGGGGGGTTGGTGGTAGGGGACATTAAAAACATTTTTTAAAATACCAGACAGCGGGGGATAAGATCTTTTTTTTTAAATGCAAATAGGGTGACATAGTGAAAGGAAGAGGAAAAACACCAATCCTTTACAATTGCATGCTTGAGAGAAGCCAGTTTCCACATTTACCTTCCATGCACTGCCTGAACTACAGGGTCATATCACTCCTAAATCTGGAACTCTAAATTTTACAAAATCTTAGCCAACTGCCTAATTCCACACATACATTTGATTAATTACCCTGACCAAATAGGCTACATGTCAAATAAAGAAGCCAGGGAGAACTTCTTATGAGACCGAATTAAACAAAGTGGATATAGATATATAAAATATGAAATATAATGTATAAAATATCAAAGATATAATCATGTAATATACTTGTAAGAATATATTGAGAACCCTAAGTCTTAAAGTGTTACTAAACCCAGGACCCTACATTCACTATATCTGGTCTCCAACAATACACAGAACATGGGAATGCAAATATTTTAGTAAATATACAACTGCTAAATATGTTTTCTCATCAGCAGTTAGAGCAGTCTTGTGACTTCTATCAGTGTTGAGCTGAGCACTGGTTACAGCTTATAGAAGGAGTTTTCATTCTCCCTGATTGTCCTATGAGGATGCAAAACCCCTGTATGGACAGCACTGATTGGCCCTGTGTTCAACACATGCACTCTCCCAAGACATAAAAAAATCTCTAGCACACACACACCAAATGTAGCATGTGCAGTTTGCCCCCAAGCCTTTGTGCTATCAGCAGATGGATTGGGGGGACTGTGGAAGAAGGGGAGAATCTGAGAAGACAGGATCAAACATCCTTTTTACACAATTAGTATAACAAGCATACTTTACTGTATATACAGACTGATTTTACTGTTGTGGGTTTAGTAACACTTTAAACTTCATTCACCACACCCACACCAAAGATGTTCTCGTGCTGTTACTCTCAGCAGATGCAGAAATAGTTTTTGAAAGGATAGACTGGCAGTTCCTAAAAACTGACCTTTAAACACATCGGGTTGGGAGATAATGGGGGAGATTTATTATAAATGAAGTGTGTGCAAAATCTGGTGCAGATCTGCATAAAAGTCAATCAGCTTCCAGGTTTTATTGTTAAAGCTTAATTGAACAAGCTGAAGTTAGAAGCTGGTTGGCTGCCATACACGGCTGCATTAAATTCTGAGAGCTCCAGTTTTAGTAAATCTCCCCAATATGTAACTATAGAAATGCCATATAAGCAGTGCCAACCTTGGCTCTACAGTCCTGCCGAGTGCCTGTCCTGGCTGTCATTACATCAGCTCCAGTTGTCAAGGTGTGCTCCGGCCTCACGCTTATCAGAAGCCATGTACCCAGATCTTGTAGTTCCAGTGGAGTGCTTCCTTAACTTCAGCTTGCCATTCCGGCATCTCCTCCATTCCGGCATCCTGACTGGATGCCTTGTCTTATTTACCGAGGTTACATCACCAGCTGCAAGTTCCACAATCGATATCCACAGGCACTCATGTTCCTCCTGTCCCTCAGCACCATCTGTTTCGCCTTCAGTGGGGCCTGGGTTGGAGATACAAGAGAGGCTGACTTCGTCAATTCAGACTTTCTAACAGGTATGTGACAAGACCACAGATGAGGTCTTGCTGGAAAAAAATATTTTAAGCAGCAGACAGCATGGGTTCATGAAAGACAGAAGTTGTCAAACAAATCTGATTTCTTTTTATGAGGAGGTGAGCAAAACCTTGGACAGAGGGGTGGCGGTGGACGTGGTATACTTGGACTTTGCAAAAGCATTTGACACAGTTCCCCACATATGGCTAATGTGTAAGGTGAAGTCTACAGGTCCCTTACTTTTTAATATAGTGTTGTATAAATGATATAGGATTTTAGATTAAAAATACCATTTCAATCTTTGCAGATGACCAATGTAAGGGGGATATGATCAACATGTATAAATACATCAGTGGTTCATATAGTGAACTCGGTGTAGAGTTGTTCACCCTGAGGTCATTACAGAGGACAAGGGTGCACTCTTTACAACTGGAGGAAAATAAATGTATTCTCCAAATACAGAAAGGTTTCTTCACAGTAAGAGAGCTGCGAGAACGTGGAATAGTCTCTCTCAAGAGTTGGTTCTGGCCAGCTCAGTGGATTGTTTTAAAATAGACCTGGATTCTTTCTTGGATACACAAAATATAACTGGTTACTAACATTTATAGGTAAAGCTGATCCAGGTAATATCTGATTGCGTCTCGGGGGATCAGGAAGGAATTATTTCCCCTGTAGGAGCAAATTGGATCATGCTTTCCTGGGTTTTTTTGCCTTCCTC